TTAGACGAACCAATTAGAGCCACTTTTGACTCCTCATCATTCAAAAACTGCTGTGCATTAACACTTCTTTGGCTCATGTATTGAGACTTGCAAGATATACATCAGCTTCAAATTTCATAAATATACCTCAAACGGTTATTTAGGTATTGACGTTCAAAAATCTACATGTGTTTTTAGTTTATAGTAACATGTAAAGAGATAATTATATAGCTAGCTATGGTTAACACTGATTGTTATCTAAAAAGGAGCAAACTAGGGCAATTAGCCACTGATCAATAAATACACGAGTTAAAAATTCATTGAGTTGAAAATTTTTCATCGACTCGACGAAACAACGGACGGCCGTTATCGCTCGTTTATCGTTATAGGTTGACTGAATAGAATATCTTTTCGACATTTCTTTTGTCGACTGGGTCGAGTCCTTGACCAGAGCTGATACAAGCGAACAGTTGGATAATAAATGCTGATAGAAATGATAGCGTGCGTGTCCGATTTACCCGTTATTGAATATATAAAACACCATAACCATGTAACTATAAATATATTGTCGTAGTCATTATCTAATTGTGTAAATCGACAGTTTCATGGTAAAATAATTGTTGTAGTTGGGTTTACTGACAGTTCAATTGCCTCATAGGCTCATAGTAGTTTCATTATCAGAAGTGCAGAAGCATTTTGCTCATGTGAAAGAACCACAGTAAGTCGAATATAGGGTACTAAAGCTGAAGATAAGCTATGTTTCTTATATTATTTGACCGACTGTACTCATTAAGTGGTGACAGCAATAGCCCAACGGTCTTGGCAGTGGAATGCTGATTGGACATCCGAGGAATGCAAGATCGATCCCTCTGGACCGCTGGCCTAATTGTGGTGTGGTGAACCATTCCTAACACAAACATAACTTCTTTGGCGAGGTTCAATAACAGAGTTGAGTACTTAAAAAAAAACTAAAAGCTGCCTTACCTATAACCAGTGCTGGCACCTTTTGCGCCGGGTTGATGGCGCGGTACTTCTCTGTGAGTTGTTCCTGCGCTTTCACGATGTCCACCTTCCGCTCTTCGAAGGGAATGCGCTTGAAGTTCAGAGCTGCCCTCACGCGCCATGTGCAAGAGGAGAGACGGTAGCCATAGAGGATGATTTGGTCGGCCTATTCGCATAGATACACCATAAGGTCCATCAGCTAGTAACTATTATCTATGCTTTAAAGATGGTATGGTGAGGTGTAAGCAACACAGCGCAATGTAAGCAACAGGCAACTGGTTTTAACGTTATTGTAGGCCTTATACCACAGAATAAGTAATAGTACAGGTACAGAAGGATTACTCCGCAAGACGATTTAAATAAATGCGAGTCTTGCTACGACGCGATACAGTGGAATTCAGCTCGCACAGCACTACGTACCTACAAATTTATTCACCTACAAGTTTTGTCTCTTTCTATCGCGTGCCTCTGAACTCTTCTTACGCTGTTAGGGTTGCTGTCTAGTGAAAAAATAATTAATCTACTTATTTATAATGAGGTACCTACGTATGTAGGTAAGTACGCATTCATTATGGAAAACCTTGCACAGAATAAGTAATAGTACAGGTACAGAAGGATTACTCCGCAAGACGATTTAAATAAATGGGAGTCTTGCTACGACGCGATACAGTGGAATTCAGCTCGCACAGCACTACGTACCTACAATTTTATTCACCTACAAGTTTTGTCTCTTTCTATCGCGTGCCTCTGAACTCTTCTTACGCTGTTAGGGTTACTGTCTAGTGAAAAAATAATTAATCTACTTATTTGTAATGAGGTACGTATATGTAGGTAAGTATGCATTCATTATGGAAAACCTTGGGAGAAGCCTTTGTCCAGCAGTGGACGTCATTTGGCTGAAACGAACGAACGCATTCTGAGCAGTAGTCATAGTAGGTTAGGTTCCTATACTATCCTAAGAATTATTGATTACCTACATGGCCAACATACCTTTCAGCATCTTTGGGAAGCGAAAAAAAAAATCCGGTAGATTTCTTTTCGAATTTAAACATCCGAACCCACAATAACCGAACGCACAATATTTCTTTCTCTTTATGTCCATTTTTAAATAATACTTCGATCATAGAATTATAATCATACTACAATACAACGCACCAGCGTCCTGACGGGCGCGCGAGTGACACTCGACTGATATAATACCCGCCGGCGGGGCGCTTCGCTGTAGGTAATTATCGGATGTACCGTGCGGAGTGAGCCAGGCCTGCTTATACCTAAGTTTATGCTACTTGACTTCTCCGAGATTATTTTTTGAAAGAAGCCATAATGCAGCTTCAGTGCAGTGCAAGCTGAAGCGTCAACCGTTGTTGCATCGTTTAAGGTTCGATACCAGTTTATTCGATATTTGGATGTTTTCTATTATACCATAACTAATTATTCTCCTGAATACCACTTATAAGAGTGTAGAGTGTTTATTAAACTACATTTTTCTCGGAACGTATAATTTTTTTTAAATGAAAGTTTTGATTTTTACTCTGTTATTATTATCAATTCGTTACAACCTCGCCTATGGCTGTAAAGTGGGCACACATGCATTTTATTCTCTAATGTGCCATTATCTAATGAGTGGTAAGTAGTATCGTATGTTAAAATATTGTTGTTAAGATAAAATACTCAATACNATACAAGCCGAGTAGGAGCCATTTTGGTTCAATAAATTATGTATGTAATTTAAATTGTGTAAAACGTCTGTTTGAACCAAATAAACCATTTTTCTTTCTTTCTTTCTTTCTTTCTAATAATTTATCTAACAACAGTCGTGAAAAGCGTTTAGTGTCAGTCCCGGCGAGCACTTTACCCTGTTTTCAAAACCTCGTAAATCCGCACTCCGGCGATCCACCAGCTACCGTCCTACCTACCCACAGTATAAGCGCTTTGATGTCCACTACAATATGGGCCGCGTCTTATATTTTATGTTACGAAAACAATGTGTAACAATGTGGCTTTCAACCCAGGAGGTATTTCGGTTGGCGACCTTGGCATATTTAGGTTTATGGAGAGATTTACAACGTATAATTTTAAAGTATCTAGCACCGTATGGTCCGTTTTATGTTAACTAGCATGATTAACAATAAAAAGTTTTATGAGAACGGTTGATTGTCAACTTTACATGATCTACATCAAAATGAAAAGTATTTTTAGATAGGTCATTGTGAAAAGCTCGCTTCCAAAATGTAGAATTTCAAATGGTATGGAAAGTAGTTATTACGTAAATATATTTGCGAGGTTTAATACCTTACCTACCATAGAATCACAGATTAAGGACTAATACTTCGATAGAACCAATTCTGCCTGACGTTAGTGTAAAATAATACAAAAAAAATTTTGTAGTTAATTTTCTTATTGAAGTCCTTCAAAACGATATTGCAAAATCTATCACAGCTAAGTCGTAAGAATGCTCATTAGCATTAGAACTTCTGTCCTTCTCTTCTGGACAGCATGTGAGCAGGACCTCCTACCACACGCGCTGCGAGGCAGGCGCGGGTTGCATACGAATGCTGCAATTTGCTCGTCGCGATGTGACTGACCTACGAGACTAGTGGCACGACGCGGACGGACTTGGGACAAACTGACTAACTATTTATGGATAAATATAAAAGTTTTTGGACGCTTTTTCATTGGATCAAGTTACTCTGATTTCTACTCATATGACTGTTGAGCAACCCTCGAGAGTCGAGACTGAAGCAGCATGACGAAAGAAAGTAGAATGACTGAGATCAGAGAAATGAAATCAGATTTCGAGAAGCTGTAAACACAGTTCTTAAATATTTCACTGATCTAAAGTAGATTACGGATGTTTACTAAACATTTCAGTTCAATTAATTAATTAAAGTTATCACGTATTTTCAATTATCGTTAAATGATGCTAAAGTATTGGAACGTGATGTTCAAACGTGCGTTGGGCTGAACCCCTGTAGCTTAATTGACAAAAGTAACTGCGCTTCAGTCTAGCAAGAGTCTCCAGTTCAAACCCGACATGAGCGAGTTGTATTATGTATTCTAAAATACTAGCTAGGTTACAAATAAATTATTTTAGAGACAGGATGTTAGTTACCTACCTCTCCACTAAATACCTAGGTGTTTGAAAAGTAATTTGCTATGCATTTTAGCACCTATCAGTATAAAAGATCCTTATAAATTCAAGAAGCGCAACACGATATTCGCGCTGCGAATTTACGAGCCCAATACAATAGAACTATTAGATGCTTAATGGTATCCAGTGCAGTGTCCTTCACGAGGGTTGCCTGCCTGGTTTATGTTCGATATACAGTTTATGTTCGAATACAAAAAATAAGTTAAATTGTAATGAATTTTAAAAATTAAGACAAACAAAGTTAATTGTAGTCTTGCACTTTACCTTACCTCCACCTTAGAATTGTCTTGTTCATTATTATTGCAGATTATTGGGGGTTTCTTCTTCTTTTTTATTTTTTACTACATTTTGACGTTCATAAGTGCCACTTGTGGTCTAAACTGAATAAATATTTTTGATTTTGATTTTTTGATTTCAAATAGGAAAGTTGAGCATTTTCAGGAAATAAAGTTTACAGATTTTGAATTTAAAATTTTTTTAAAGTTTAAGCCAAAACATTCTGCATTTTAAATAAATTATGTTTGGCAACCCTATGGAAGTGCACCAGTATTTCCAAGAAGGCTGCACCGAACTGGAGACCAATGGGGAATGCTAACTGCTCGCAATGAGGATGAACACGGCACCGCTGCACCGGCGCATCCGATGCTAGGCGTGCGCTTTCTAATAATGGTGAAAGTGATTAGAAATCGTGTCAAAATACATTTTTGACCTATCGACACAAAATGGATCAAAGTCCCTTATAACCACTCTAATGTCTGCTTAGACCTAAACTATTATGGGAGATAATGCCTTAAAGACAACAAAGATTTTACCTACCTACCTACAAGTTGGAATGAATGAACCAACCATCGTTTTTATTTGTTTTCAGTGCGAGGGGCGCTATACTAAGAGTGAGATGGGATGGTGGCGGCGTGGGCCGTCTTGCCTCTGCTGGCAGTTGTCGCGGGAGACGTCATCTTCAGGGTGCCAGAGGTGTTGGTAAGTTCCTATCAAGAGATACTAAAAAGGATGCAGAAAAGCAATGACGTAGCGTTCTACATGAAGAGGGATTCACGAGAGAGAGAACTGAGCCGATTAACTAGTTGTGCTCAATGGAAAAACAATATTTGAAAAAACCGAAACAATAGAATAAAAAGACCGAATAAATTATGTCCATAATTAATTCATCGTCGGAGAATTTAAACATGACCGGCTAAATACTGGTTGAGTGTTTATTAGCTGTTAATATACACATAACCAGTGTTAAGCAGTAATAAAAATGTATGTCTGATGACGTGTTGGTTCACTATACGTCATTATTGTCATTGATATTTTCTTTTAAAACTAGGTTTCTAGTTAAATCTATCATCTGTCCTAGGTCCGACACGCGGCAGCTTCCAAGCCAGTGGGCACGGGGCGCGCGAATACCTCCCGCGTAAACAACTCGGAGCACCTGAGGCACGACGACAGCGTCGTGGAGGTGCGCTACGAGGAGTACTTCGTGGAGCACGACATCTCCACCGCCGACGCCCGCAAGGCCGCGGCAGAGCTCCACCTTGACGATGGTAAGCTCATATTTCTAGTTACCAGGATTCTATAGAACTCCTGGAATGGTCGCGTGAACCACTCGGAGCCCTGGGGCGCCAACGAGAATGTTATAGAGATGTGATACAAGGAGTACTTCGTGGAGCACGACATCTCCACTGCCGACGCCCGCAAGGCCGCGGCAAAGCTCCACCTTGACGATGGTAAGCTCATATTCCTAGTCTATACCAGGATTCTATAGAACTCTTCTGATGCTCGTGTGAACCACTAAGAGCATTGTAGGTCTGACAAGAGCATCGTGGAGGTGCGCTACGAGGAGTACTTCGTGGAGCACGACATCTCCACCGCCGACGCCCGCAAGGCAGCAGCAGAGCTGCACCTTGACGATGGTAAGCTCATAATCCTTGTCTATACCAGGATTCTATAGAACTCATCTGATGCTCGTGTGAACCACTAAGAGCATTTGAGGTCCGACGAGAGCGTCGTGGAGATGCGATATGAGGAATACTTGGTGGAGCACGATATTTCCACTGCCGACGCACGCAAGGCCGCAGCCGAGCTGCAGGTTAATGATGTTGATGGTAAGACATATTTCTAGTCTATACCATTTTAGAACTCCTTGGAAGATTGTGGGATGGCCATGGCACGCTATCGAAGCCTTACAGTCGTTCCAATACGAGAAAAACTTCGTGGAAAATGTAACTAAACTAAACAGTTATAAATTGCTCTTTCTATCTTATATAACTAAGTCAAGGTGTTCTTAATCGTGACTCAAGCTCCAGGAATCCAGAATTAGATGATTTAACATTAGTAGCTGCATGATCTAAAAAGAAGTAGGCAGTTTTATTGTCGCTGGTGCTCGTCCGATTATACTGGTCTGAACACGATTTGATTGTTACGTTTTCTAGTTTATAAAATAGTTCATGAATGTAACCTTATATCCTTGCTTACGCACTGCACGCGGCACTTGGCTATTTTATTTCCTGACTCATATCAAAGAACAAACTGGTATCACTAGCCGATCGTGCAAGCCTTTGGCATATCGATCGAAACGCTTGATTTTAGATTTACAATTTACAAATGGAAATGATTAAACATTTAATGCATTCTTCTGGGAATCTTTGAGCCCGCATGGCCCTGGCCCTCGATTCCCGAATTGGCTTGTGTCGCAACCTCAATTAGCGAGCCGTTTAATTGTGGTTCCGACAACCGAGTGAATCAGGCGGTGACGGGATTAGGAGAACAAGATTAATTGGGTTACCTTGAAGGTTACTAGTAATTACAATAATACAAACTTAGAATGATCTAGACTAGACTCATCATCTTATCATAACAGATGTACCTAAGAGTGCTTTTGGTACATAGAGGGTGTAAACGTATTACAACAATTATTCAAATACCTTCTTTATCATTGCAATTGCAATAGCGTTATTATATCTACGAATACCTTCGGCCTCATTATTACTTTCATAAGATGAGAGGCAAGCTAAGAGGACAAAAAAAATTTAGCTTGTATCCGTATCCTAAGAAAGACTCCGTGTTCATATTTGTCAATATTTTGAAGTGTAAATTTCTGTGATCTACCGAAGACACTTCATCTAGATGCCCACTAATTTAAGTAGTATCTATTACCAGCTATATTTATAGTGTTGACTTTAGTTAATTGGTCTTAACGAGGCACTGTGATATCAACACATCAGCTATTAGGGCCATGAATCATGGTGGCAAATTGATCAGCAACAATGTCGGCTTGCGTACATCTGAAGATGTCACGAAAAGATATGCGAGTCCCATAAAATTTATAAATGAGGAGATACATAAAAAAACTTGTGTAACTGTGCTTGACCGTCGATAAAATCTTACAAGTGAAGGTCAGCTAGTCTGTGGAGACTCCCCTAACCCTCAAATTTAAAATGTCGTTGATTTCGTAACGAATGAAATCATGATTGCTACTTAAATAAAAAATATTTCATTTTACTAATAACTACGACCACATTTACTAAACCACCTAATTCTAAAAAAAAAACATCATCATATCGTATTGCAATCCTTTCAATCTATAATCTTAGTATCGACAAAGAATTGATAAAAGTACCGTTTGACTTCAAAGACCCGTATACTGCATGAATGCTCATCAAAATAAAAACAATTATTTTTTCAAAGCACGCCACAAGATCAGTTTTCGATCTTGCAGATTAAAAAGAAAAATAATGTACTATGAACCTAGAACCCTCAATGTCTCCGTGGTCAGTGCCTAATGATGGCCGCGAGTGTATCAGTTTCGCGATTAACAGCCGTGTCTCCGCCAACAACAATGACATAACGACGGCGGTTAGATCGCTTCCACCACGTGTCCGTAGGCGGCGGCAATTAGAAGGTCCGCGGGAGGATATGCGATACTTCTTCATAGAATGACATTGTAGAGCGCTTTATGTGCGCTTGAAGCTGAAAATATTAAAGCAATCAGTATCTAGTTATTCATCAGGTCATTTTTGGCTGAACTAGACAGTAGAGACATGAATGCAAATGGACGGTATGCAAATGCAAATAAAACAAGAAAAAATAACTTGTCTTTATAGCCTGGTGCTAGCAAAAACCGATACAATAAGTATAAGTTCAAACAATGGACCGTCCCAAAGATCAATTTAAGTAGTAACTTTACGTAACGGTATTTGATAGATTTTGTATGCTTTGCAATTTAAATTCTTTTGTAGCGGTTTAGAACCTCTTTATCACTAGGTAATTTTACTTTTTTTGAAGCGAGTGTAACTAGTTTTCACAAGTTTTAATCTTTTTATATCCATGTCCATTGTCCATGCACCTGAGAACTGAATTCTGGTTTGAGTAAGACGGTTTTTAGATTTAAAAGATTATTTAAGATAACTACTTATTTATTTTGATTCAAGTCTGCATTGTCCTAACAGTTTTGTTTCCCATTCGAAAATCGAACCCAGAACCTCTGATTCGAGAATCCAATAGGCCTCCGGGGCATTTTCATAACATGTGTAATGCAAAACGACATAGAAAATCTTGATCCCCGATGCAGCCCTATTACAGTGTTCAAGTACACAAATGCGCGCACATTTAATTTGCGTGATTGTCGCCTGCGGGCTAAATAATGGACGATGCGCCGTGCAAATTAATGGCTGCGAATTACAAAAATTGCCGCCTATCTCCGCTGCATCTGTGTCATTTAATCTGGATGGACTCCTGTGATGAGCCTAATGGAGGGTAATGATGATTGAGCCCATGTCTGACGCCCATGGCGGCTTATAATCTGACTTCAGGTTTGTTACAGCAGTGATACAAAGAAGATAAATGATAGTTTTGAAAATAGAAACGTTAAAAGATTGTAGTCATGGTAACGGGATTTGAAAATGTACCTATATTTCGGATAAGCAGTATTAAATTATTGGCTAAATAATCGACTGGTAAGGGCAGTCGACTATAGATGAACTACACTGAACTGTCCCACTAAACACATTGACAGGGGCTCGCCCCACCTCCATCGTTCAACTACTTCAGTACTTTATGAATGGATGTTTGAAAAGGAAAATCGCATGTTGCAACTATGTATAAGAACTGATTGAAATTTGGTATCCAATTTCAGTATTTGCTTAAATGACTCTTAGTTGTAAGCACATTGTTTTCTCATGGTCAGAGTCTTGAATGTCTCTTGGCGGTTCTCTAAACTAGCTATAATCACGGCGTTGCTTACTAATTGCACTACGAAGTATTATTAATTGTTGGACATAGCTTCAGTACCTACTATTACGATGCTCAGGGTTGACGCAAATATAATATTAAGTTTTACCCGAATGCAATTTTTGCATTTTTAAATTATTTACAACTTCAAAAATGCTTATCGTGAATTTACATACTTTTACGTTATCTACACAAAACAAAGCTCCGCCTTTGTTATCGTGTTGTCTTGTCAATCGGATTCCATTTTCGGAATTCGCGAAAAAAATGATTAGGTATGACCAGGCCTGTTCATCTCCGCGAGTTTGCATCGAAAACAAAACACGCGCGACTACCCCTCCTGAGATACCAAATCGACAGGACAATCACGAGCGAGTATTGACGCACGCACGTATTCTTCACCCATTTGCATTGTAAAGACAATAAACCATATGTAAAAACGGTGGTGCAATTAATACTCTACAGTATTTTTTAACTGCCTGAATAATTATTAGAAACACAAAATATAATTCATGCTTATTCATGTATTTCCTCCGCCATTTTTCGCAGTTTGGCACCTCACGTCACACATCATTTTACCGAAGTCAGCCCTATGTCTTCGGCGCAGTACCGATCACTGACGTTTGTCAACAAAATGGTGCTCGACTCGTGAGACAAGCTAAATTACACCATATTGTTAAAGACATTGAGCATACATTTTTTTAAATACCTTCGCGAAGAAAATCTTCTGTACGAAGTACTTATTATTATTCTGTGGTATGACAAAGCTATGTGTAAAATGTGATTAAAACAAAATTGCATTGGGTTAGGGTAAGTCCAGGATAGATGCCCCACTTTTTGAAACAGCTCTGTAACTCAGTCAGTAAGTTTTTATCAACAATTTGACCTTAGTATCTGTAAACTTTGGTCTTTCGTCTATGATATTACTATAATTATTTTAGTTTAAGTTATACCGATTCTGAGTAAATACCATTTTAATTGACCTCTAAAAAGTGGGATAGACGCCTAATGTGGGGGATAGAAGACTCACTGTATGATTGCTTCAAAGGATAGATGCCTGATGCAGGGATAGATGACTCGTTAATACAGTTTTTGATGTGACAAAAAGAGCAGGTTAGGATAGATGCCCCTAGGTGCATGGGACATGGCTCTAAGGGCATCTATACCCAAAAAAAATTAGGCAACTATCCTTTTAGCATAGGATAGGTGCCTTTTTTAATAAAAAATATAAAACACTAAAAATCGAATTAAACATGGCTATCCCATCTAATTTATAAGATAGTCTATCAAATTATATAAAAATCTGCTTCATTTTACAGCTGACAAAAAAATTATGCATTAAAAGATACTTACCAATTTTATTTCGACGCTCGCTAAGGTTTGGCCGCGAAAGATTTTTGCTCTCACTGGCTAAACGAACGCACTCTTTGATGGTTTGCGAGGCGAAAAGTGGTACGGGGAGGTCTCTTTCTATAATACGTACTATAACTTTAGGCTAAGTTGCTTGTAACATAGTGTACTTAAAATCGCGGCACCTATCCCACTGGGGCATGTATCCTGGAATTACCCTATTCACATGTTCACCTAACCATTTTAATAAAATGTTTTAATTAGTAGAATATAAAACCATTGATGCATGGCTAGACTTAGTAAAATTAATCGAAACGTAACGGTTGTTACTTATGTAATGTATGTAATGACCGATAAATAGGAATTTGGGTTATTTTTAACATGCAATACACTGTTTTTTATTAAATTGCACCTAACCTAACATACGCTGAGCGATAAAAGAATAACTATTGTTGTCTGCAAAATCAATTACACCGTCAAAAAAGTTATAAGTATAAATGCTCGATTACTTTAGGCAAATGAATCAATTCACAAACGTTCTGCCCTTTTGAATGATATCCTCTGTCCCCAAGGACGCCTTTTGTTGGTTCCTCAAGCTGGCAGCCCTACTGGCTTCTGCTCGACCCAAGGTCGGATCAGCAGTGAAACGCCATTGTTATCAATACCTATTAATTTGCAATCTGTTCGGCTTTCATCAATTAATACGGTTTACGACCATAGTTAGGTAATTAATTAGGCATGTAACGCAAATAAGAAAAATGATTTTTGTTCTACAATGAAGTATAATAAATTGATGAGAGAATTTCAAGGTAACACCCACCGAATTACAAACAACATTCTTCGAAGGTTGTTTGAACGAGATAAAAACTCTCAACTTTAAAAACTCACAATTAACTTTCAAAGTAATACCAAGTGCCGATTGCTTTATTTTTCTGTTACGTAAACTTTCAGTAGGTTACCTAACCTACACTTTTCACGACAAACTATATGCTATTTACCCAACTGCGCCAGAAGGAGGGTTATGTTTCAAAAAATTCTAGCCGGGTGTTCCGTAGACTGTACCTGTAGGTAGGTACATATTTGCTTTGTCGTGTGAACAAACAAGCGATAAACAAAACCAGGGCAGGGGGTGGGCAATCAAAACAAGTGAGTCATAGCCAACTGAGGCTGGTGACGTCAGAGGGTGCGAGGACATTAAGTACTTCTCCTACAGGGTCTGTTATTGCGCACTTCAATAATAAATACGCAATACGGTAGGCAAATGAAATATTAAAAAAAGTCTAAAACTTTACACTAAACTTCGAATATGGTATTCAAATCAAGATTACAATTCCCTACGGGTCAAACGGTTGATTAGGCTAACGCACAAAATTAACGACAAAAACAAAAAAATATAGAAAACCATTAGAAAATATAAATCCTACCTTGTTACTTTTCCATCTCGCGACTTTTGCGGTCGATGAGGTAAAATTTTGTCACTTTACAGTTTAAACATCACACTTTTTTACACTTACTAGGTATTCACTTCAGTTTCTATCTTGATTTTATCGAAATCTACACCGATAAATCCAATAAACCCGAAAAAAAGAATAAAATTAGTTGCAGAGAATTCGCACCGCGCGTCTGCAACGAAATAATAAATGAGACTGGCCTCCCTCACAAGCCGTTAATATCATCTTGTGATAGTACCCGCCTTTTCATAAAATATTATTTCACACCAACTACCCTTGTTTGGACGCGTTTGGCGAACTCGAGTACATCGTCACGCTTGAATGATCGCACCATGTAAAGGCGCGCGCGCACGGTTGACTTTTGGCACCGTGACAAGTTTACTTATTTTTTTTTACACTTTAAAACTAAATTGATGAATATTAGACTAGTAGTCCAGTCAAATTAGACATGAACCCTGCAATACATTTGTGTAAATGTATTATTAAATTAAATATAATGAAGTAACATAAATAATAATACAATTGTACTACCTAACCTAATATTGTATTTTTTTTAATAAAATTTCAATTTCGTGGGTTCGAGTCCCGCCTTAGTACTTAGTTCGATTTTATCAAGTTGTTTATTTAAAATTTAAAATCTTAAGTAAGAACAAATGAAGTAAAATGTATAAGTTTATTAAATATTTGTTATGCCCTTACAGGGTGCATGTGCTGTACTACCCTACCATTTACTAACTGTTAAACAACACACTCACAAAGTCCACAAAGTCACCGTGTGCGCGCTCCCTAAGATAACTAAGTATTACTTGTATCACAGAATCCATAATAGTAGCCTTGTATGTAAGTAGGTATAAAATAATCATAAAACACCAACCGCTACCAACCGGGCAACATGGAAAGCATTGGGGGAGGCCTATGTTCAGCAGTGGACGTCCTATGGCTGAAATGATGATGATGAAGATGATGAAGGTGAGATACAGGCCAAGAGCTTCCTTGTTGTAGATAAAAAAAGGATAAAATAATTATGGCGGTTTAACGGTGTGGTTCTTTTAATACCTTAAAAGCGCTTTTTAATAGCCTAATGCCCGTTTTCACCATCAATCCCTCGAGCCTTTCCTAACTAAGCATCACTTAAGTTAAACGATCCCCTAAACTACGAAAACGGGCATAAGTGATTGCAAAATATAATGCCTTTAAAGTATGTATTTTTTCCTTTTGGATTTAATTTAGACTTTTAGTTTACGATGATGTGAAATATTATACATTGGTATGGGGAAACCTATTAGTCATCTAAAATCCTCGTACTCATGAGTTTCCACCATAATTACATCCCAATGTCAGTTAATTAGATTTCAGCAATGTTCTCAACCAATGATTAAGCCAAGGCCGAGGGCGGGGCAGCCAAATGACACGGTGCAGCGTCACCAAGGTTCGGGGGCAGGGCGCTGTGACATTGACTAACTCCCAAAACAACTGTAGTCTTAATTTGTTTACAAAGTACTGGGGTACTGTTTAGAGGTTAAAGCCATAAAGTCTTAAATGAGTCATAGCAGTGGGCTTACAAATCGTAACTTAAAATCAAATGTTGGAAAGTATGAAAAGCTAGTCATCATTATTTGATAAGGTTACTCCTAACCTTTAGAAAATAATGTTTATTTTTGTAGGCTTTTATGTTCATTGGCCTAATATAGCAGCAGTTTCGAATCCATTGCTACTGATTTGATGAGGTAGGCTTAGGTACCTTGAGAATTTATTATTATGAATTAGGGTTCCGGAACTAAGTAAAGCAAAAAACGTTTTATTCGTCGTTAACAACAGAAAAGTGTTGTATTTGTTCCGTGATGGTGCTTGGTCGAGCGGAACCGTCGTTACACTTGCAACCTTCGATTTTACTTTGTCATCATGTTTTTTCTCCATTTTTCACGCCACCACGCTTTTACGTGATTGCATAAAAACGTTTATTTTCTACGACTACCAGGTACTAACAACAATAATAGACGGTAAACTGCCACAGCAAGCAATGCAGTGACTACTTCGTCTATATACCCGCACTTATTATAAACCACCAGACATAAAGGCTCAGTGCGAAGCCACCTATGGGAATGCATTATGTAACAGGCTGTGGTTCTCCGGCATAAATCATTGCAAACCATTGTTCAAACATTTGATAGGAAACGCATTGCCTCAAATGTTCGAACCACATCACGAATGAATGGAATACAGAATTGGCATATTTGTCGTATGAATGTATGATGAACCAATTTTGTGCTAGGCCGCTTTGAACGCAATCTAGACAAACATTCGACGATTCTATTTCGTCCAGTATATTTTCAACTCCAAATATCGTTTCTTCGGATTGATTGGATTCTCAAGATCCAATTGCTACTCGGCAACTTTCACTGGAATCTAATTTCAAAGTTGTTGTTTGGTTCGCTGGCTTGGCTCTAGGTTTTTAGGTCTACAATTTAAAAGATTTCTTCAATTTGCTTGATCTTATGACATCTGTTAAAAGTAACTTAGGCCAACGGATCAAGGATTGCTTTAAAAGAACGCCACCAAAGCACCTTCATCATCTCCCATTTTTGGTGCTCATGTAGTTAGTTAGGTAGTTCGACTGGACTTTTCCGCAAAAATGCTGCATCCTGATTGGGTAATTGTGACTGATTTGTATCTTTTCTTCTTGCCTGTATCATCCCAGAAACCAAGCAGCATCCCATATGTACCTATGTCTTTTCCTTGTCAGGGTCTTAATATGTGGAATCCAGTCATTTTCAAATGTCCTCTTCTCATTCCAGTGCCTTCAACCCGCGCGGGCTGCGGCACCTGCAGCCGCAGCGAGATGGAGTACTGCGAGACGCGCGTGCTGGCCGACCATTGCTGCTGCGAGCGGCGCTTCCTGCCCGAGCCGTTCCCCTGGCTACCACACACTTGCTACGTAGGACCAGCGCGATGCCGGCCATTGGCACACGACTGCGTGCGGTATGCGCGCCTGAGGGACTGCTGCTGCTACCGCAAGCTGGCTGAGCGATGTGAGTATCCTCAAACTTATAGGGGAGCGTGCTTGAGTGCTGCGAGTAGCGCTTCCTGGCCGAGCCGTTCCCCTGGCTGCCGCACACCTGCTACGTCGGGCCCGCGCGCTGCCGGCCGTTGGCACACGATTGCGTGCGGTATGCGCGTCTGAGGGACTGCTGCTGCTACCGCAAGCTGGCTGAGCGATGTGAGTGTCCTCAAACTTATAGGGGAGTGTGCTTGAGTGCTGCGAGTAGCGCTTCCTGGCCGAGCCGTTCCCCTGGCTGCCGCACACCTGCTACGTCGGGCCCGCACGATGCCGGCCGTTGGCACATGACTGTGTCCGTTACGCACGTCTAAGGGACTGCTGCTGCTATCGCAAGCTGAGCGATCTGAGTATCCTCAACTTTAGGTTGAGCTGCAAGGTTCCTTTCATCTGCGACAATAGAACCAGACTGTGAAGCAGAATCTTCCAAACAAACCAGGATGATTAATATTGATGCCGAATTATCTTACGTTACTGCGTCTGCAAGTTCTGTATCATCAATTCAATACT